TGTGCATCTGATCACACAGAATAGTATTTATTGAAATGAAACCCAGGAAATGGAAACAAGAGTTTTGTTGTTGTTGTTTTCATTTTCTTTTCTTTTTGTCTTGTTTACATGTCTTGGGGAGGGCAAGGGGAGGCACAAAAATGGAGGGATGAAGGGTAAACAGATGCAGCTGTGGTACTTCCTAGACACTGTTGAAAATGAACTACACAACTTGTGGGTGGGGATGTGAGGGGAAAACTGGGAGAGCAAAGGGAGGGGTGACATTGTTCTCAAAGAAAGGTACTACTTACCTGACTTTTGTAACAGTAACCCCCCCTATACATCACCTTTATAATAACAATCTTTAAAAATGTAAAATCACTTAAGAGTGACCTTGTCAACCCCACCAGCCTTGCCACGAGCAAGCTCCATAGGGAGAGAGCAGGGACTGGGATCTTGGAGTAGTCCTCAGTCACCTTCTTGTGCCTCAGTTTACCCAAGTCCCTAGCACTACCTCACTTCTGTAGCACTTTCCCCCCGTCTAACCTAGGGGACCTCTGTGGTCTGTTCTGCATGGGAACATCAGGTCAAACTTTGAGCAGAATTAGAGGCAACCTCTCTTCCCACAGAGACAGCACCCTGTGCAGCCAGAGTCACACCGTGGCTGTTCCGAGGGGAGGGTCCAGCCATCTCTGACCTCAGAGTTCAAGGTCAGAACTTGGTCTTACTATTGCACTCACCTTTCCTGTTGGCTCCCTGCCTTCCCGGCACTCCGCCTGTCGGTTGGTCTGTCTGTGTATTGATTGTGCTGGAGTTGGGAAGGCGCAGTTGTGTGCCTCCAGGCCCTCTGGGCTAGGGTAGGGTGGGGGTACTTCAATGTTCTCAGAGGTGGTCTAGCTTCTGAAACAAGGAACTACAGTGTATGATCTCTAGAGGGCTGAGCTCAGACCTTTTCCTGGAAACACAAAGACACAGATGTCCTGAGCTGGCTGCCTGACCCAAGTAGGAAGTTTCCACACCCTAGCTGCGGCCTCACTAGGAGGTTAGGCAGCAGTGTGGAAAATGTATAGGTCCTGTTGACTTTGGCTGTGGCCAAAGACCTCCAAGCTCGGCCATCACAGACTTTCACCTTCCCACCACTGGTACAGCCTACTTATCTAGCCCATGCATTGTTCTTCTGAGCACATCCTGGGCAGAGGTTGGAGGGAGGTGTCAGCAGGTAGGAAGAATGTAGACACACAGGAAAGCTGCAGGGTTCTTAATATAGCTGAAGTAGATCTGAAAATCAAGAGTCTCTTGGCTGGCATTATGTGCTGAGTCAACAGAAAACCAAATATCCAAACTCAAGAGTCCTATTGCATTGTAAAAGATACCTACTAGGTGTCAGGTACCACTGCATGCATTACCTATATTTTCTCTAATTTTGGTGACAAGTTGCCAACACAAATGATATTATTGCCTCTATTTGCAGATGAGAAAGTTGAGGCCAAATGATTTCCATCTTTGACTGAGGTGAATTGTCCAGAAAGCTCACACTGTTAAAGGTGGGGCTCAGACTCATGTTCGAATCCTGCCCTAGGATTCTGGAGGCTTGACTGAGTGTTTGTTTGTTTGTTTGTTTTGTTTTTTGGTCAGACATGGGGCCTGAACTCTGGGCCTGGGCGCTGTCCCTCAGCTGTTCAGCTCAAGGCTAGTGCTCTACCACTTGAGCCACAGTGCCACTTCTGGCTTTTTCTGCTTATGTGGTGCTGAGGAATCGAACCAAGGGCCTCAGGCATGCAAGGCAAGCACTCTACCACTGAGCCACTTCCCAACCCTTGGACTGAGTGTTCTAAACCTCACACCTGTACTCAAAGACCTCTACTGATGCCAGGTGGTTGATGTCTGTAATCCTAGATATGCAGGAGGCTGAGATCTGGGGATCATAGTTTGAAGCCAGCCAGGATAGGAAAGTCCCTGACATGCTTATCTCCAGTTAGCAAAAAGCCAGAAGTAGAGCTCTGGCTCAAGTGGTAGAGTGCCAACGTTGAGGGGAAAAGCTAAAAAGGCCCTGATTTTTGAACCCCAGTACTGGCACATACACATATGTATGCACACACACACATGAACCCACATACACACATGACCCCTACTGAACATGTCAGTGTGTTTCGAGGACTTCTGGCTTAAAGCTGATGAGTGGGTGCGCCTGGGTGCCAGTCGGTGAGGCGGCTGGTTCTGGGAGCCCCATGCCCATTCAGCCTGTTTGAGTGGGAGAGACTTTTCTAGTGAAGTTTCCCTGCAAGCTCAGGACAGGAACCTCTGGCTGCTGTCTTGGTAGTTTTGATCCTCTCAGACAGAGTATCCTGGAGGTGGAAGGGTTGTGAATGGAGAATCAGTCTAGAGGAGGTTCTAGCAGCGTCCACATGTGTGTGACTTGGCTTAGCTGGTAGGTGAGCCCCCCACAAGCCTTCTGAGGGACAGATGCATTCACTGTTAGCTGCTAGACAGAGGCAGAAGCACGCCTTGCTCCAAACCCTTCAAGCCTTGCTCTTCCTTCCTCTGTCTGCCTTCCTCTAACCGCCTTTCCTCATGAAGCCCATCCTGGCCTCCGATGTAGAGTAGGGGGACCAAGACCAAGGAGAGGGACCGCTCCAAGGAGCAGGCTATGAAGTGAGGAGGCAGAGCGGCTGAGAACAGCCAAGATGGAGGGATTTCCAAGTCTGACCCCACAGCCTAGTGGCTGGGAGGCTGCCAGTCACTCACTCGATCTTTTCAGGCTCAAAGAGACCAGAGGAGACCCTCGGAGTGGGAACTTAGGAAAACCTGCAGTGGGTGCCTGGTGCTGAGATAGGGAATGCTCACTGGGAGTGAGGCCCCCTCTGAACACTTAGCTGTGAGTGGGCTTCTCCAGCTCTGAATGCCCAGCAGGGCCAAGAGCAAAGGCTGGGGAAGGATTTTATTTGAGAATGCAGCCGTGGAGACTGGAGGAGGCGGTGCAGTAGCAGAGAGAACTACCAGGTCCATTAGAGAGGGCTGGTGGCCCCTAGATCTAAAGGACTGAGAGGGGTTTTCCTGGCCAAGGGGTGCAGCAGGCAAGGCAAGGGTTTGGGCCACAGGAGGTGCAGCAGGCCTGGGGTGGGTTGGGGAGCAGAGGGCAAGGGAGATGCTGTCTGGGTGATACTCTGGGCTGGACCATCTCAGAGGCTGTAATGGAGTGACCCCAATGCAAAAGGGGGGGATCCTCAAAGGAATATTTGAAAAGAGAGCTGGAACAGGCACCTGGCCGAGGGCTACTGCTCTGATTTGTGTCTTTGGCCTTCTTTTGTTTATATTTGGAAGACATGGTCATATTATTAAGCCTAGGCTAGCCACTATTACTCCTTGTGGCCTTAAACTCAAGATTCTCCTACCTCAGGCCCCAGAGTGCTAAGATTCGCAGGTTTGTACCGCAATGCCTGGCTTTACTCATTCTTTTAAAGAACTTTCATAAATTGACATATTACAATGCATTTTTTTCCAGATACCTCTGTGGTAGTTAACTTATGGTTTCAACACTAAAAGCTATTTCTATGCTGGAAAGTAATGGGAGAAAGCTGGTGAGACAATAGATTCCCTACTAGGAGTCTGGTGATGTGTAAAAGAAACCCACAGAGTGGGAAGAGGGACCTGAGCAAAGAACATGATTAACTGAGAACCTTCTGTTCAAGGCTTCCACACAGTTCTGGAAACCAAGAATCCCATACAATCCTTAGTCGATGAACTGGCCATTGTGGTTCCCATTTGGTGGATGCGAAAATGAATGCTTAGAGACATTCAGCAACTTTTCAGTGTCACAAAACTGAGGATCGTGAGAGTGGCCAGCCTTTGCCAACGTTCATTCTCTCTCCATGACACCCTAGTGCAGATCTCTCCATGACACCCTAATCCTAAGAAAGACTGGGAAAGAGCCGGGTACCAGTAGTTCACGCCTGTAATCCTGGCTACTCAGGAGGCTGAGATCTGAGGATTGCGGTTCAAAGCCAGCCTGGGCAAGAAAGTCTGTGAGACTCTTATCTCCAACAAACCACTAGAAAACTGGAAGTGGCGCTGTGGCTCAAGTGGTAGACTGCTAGCCTTGAGCTGAAGAGCTGAGGGACAGCACTCAGGCCCAGAGATCAAGCCCCATGACAGAAAGAAAGGAAGGAAGGAAGGAAGGAAGGAAGGAAGGAAGGAAAGAAGGAAGAATGGGGAAGGAAGTGGGGGCAGGTATGGCTTACTTTCTCCCAGGGATGGAGAATATATGCAGGCTCCTAGATTAAAGTGGTCTGCATTGCCTTGACCTCAGAAGCTGCTTTGTCCACACAGGCTGAAAAGCTAGGAATGATCACAGGGAGGCGATGGGCTTCCCATGTAAGGCTCTGTATCTTGGGGTCTGCCTGTCCTCACCCATGCTTTGGTCAGACCTGGAGGTGGAGAGCATTCTGTTATCTCCATATCTTGCCTGCAACTCCAGCATGAAAGGCCCCAGGATGTCTTATCGATGCAGTGCCTCTGGTTCAGAAAAAAAATAGCCACTCGGGTTACATAGACACTTGGCAGGGTGTACGCATGGCTGGTAAGTGCCTATGTTTGGCAACAGGGACCAGGTAGAATTAACTTTGGCAGCCTTGGGGATTAAAAGAAGGCTCACAGCATCTGCATTTTGAGAAAACAGTCTCCTGGCATGAAGTTCCACCTGACAGGCTTCCTTGCACTGAGGCCCAGTAGAAGGAGCAATGTCGTCTCTAAACAGTTTGTCATGGCCTCTGAGCCCAACTCCTTGTTTGAGATGTGACCTTGGTTGTAAGAGCCAGGAGCAGGGTCCTGTGGGTAGGCAGGTGGCCTTGGCCTCACCCTTGGCCCCCCGATTCTGCCAACTCACTGCTGAGCAATGGAAATGGTGTCCAGGGAGACCTCATCTTTCGGGGCCTAAAGGGCTCTGTGTTCTCCATACAGCTCTGGGTCTGTTAGGGTTGGTCTGAGCTTCCCCTCCGAAAGACACGTGTAAGTACTCTAACCCTCAGTACTGTAGAATGTGACCTTATGTGGAAATAGAGCCATTGCATGTGTAATTAGTTGTGATGAGGTCATACTAGAGTAGAGTAGTCCTCTAATCCCACAGGACCAGTGTTCTTTAGAGACAGCCATGTTAAGGTAGCTACGTAGGGAGCAGGTCTTATGCAGCTACAAGCTGAGGATGACCAAAAGACAGGCAGCAAGCCACTAGAAACCAGAGAGAGGCAAGGGAGGATCCCAAACATAGTTTAAAGACAGCACAGGCCTGCCAACAACTTAATTCAAACTTCCAACTTCCAGAAGTGGGGAGACAACTTCTGTTTGAAGCCACCTGGTTCAGGCCCTTTGCTCTCCCATAGCTCTAGGAAACCAAGGCAGACTGGATATGATGGAGGCCCTTTTCCTGGCTCATGGTTGCTTTCTTGAAGAGGGGCCAGTGCTGTGGGGCCTTCTCATTTTTCCTTACAGTGACTTCAGTTTCCATAGCCCCCTCTTCCAAATTCTGGAAGCACATTTATTCTCTCCAACACAACCCCTTGGGCTAGTCTGAGGATGAAGATGTATAAGAAAGGGCCCCTGGGGAGCTATGTCGCTGGGAAGACAGGATGCACACAGGGAAGACAGCCCAAACATCTGTCCAATTGTGGTGCTAGAATTGGAAGGAAAGGATATCTTAGACAGGGGAAGATGAAATGTCTTCCCTCCCTCCCTCCCTCCCTCCCTCCCTCTCCTCTCTCCCCTCCCTCCCTCCCTCCCTCCCTTCCTGTCTGTGAGTATGCATGCCATATTGGGGCTTGAACTCAGATTCTAGGTGCCATCCCTTAGCTTTTTTACTCAAGGCTAGCACTCTATCACTCGAGCCACAGCTCTACTTCTGGCCTTTAGTGGTTAATTGGTGGTAAGAGTCTCATGAACTTTCCTGCCAAGCTGATTTTGAACTGTGATCCTCTGATCTCGGCCTCCTGAGTAGCTCACATGCCCCTGTGGGGATAATTCTGTTTCACAGATGAGAATGCTGAAGTCAAGAAATGCCAGTTGGCCTTCAGAAACAATCACTAGAGCCTAGGAATAGCACTCCCTGATCTCCAGCTGCCTCTTGGCAGTAAGACCCTGGCCCCAGCTGTTTAGTGATAGTAGACCCCCTGCTTGTCATGGCCCCTGAGATCTGAGACCCTCATAGCCCATCCTTTGTTTCCACTCCATAAAGGCTCCGGCACTTTGAGCCTTTCCCTGTCTATCTTTGGACTGTCAAACTCATTGGTGGTCTTGTCCTGTGAGCAGTCCTTCTGCTTAGTTCCCTGGCTCCCCAGGAGTGCTGCCTTATTTAATCTGTTGCTGCAGGCTAGCACAGATCTTGTGAAAGCCTGGGCTCAGCCTGTGTGGCTCTGTTCTACCCTCTGGTGTCTTGTCCAAGCTGAGAGGCTGTGGAGGACAATGGGATCCCAGGGGTGGGAGCCGGCTGGGCAGCATGGAGATGAGCCACTTGAGGGATGGTGGTCTGTGGGATTTCCCCCTGGGGCTCCTGGGACATGGTTTGGCTTTGGAATGTGGTGTTTCACCCCACGCCCAACACACATCAGCCCTGAAGGCTGCATTTGGAGAGGAGTATGAGGGCTCTGACTTCATCGCTGCCGGCCTGAAAGCTGCAGGCGTGGCATTTCCAGGGACTGGGAAGTACAAAGTCATGGACTCGTGGCTTTGCTACAGCCTGTCATTACTCTGGCTGATGGAAGAAAGTCGTTAGTGCCCACATGTGCTTTTTTCTGAAAATCTGAAAGCCTTCCTCTAGGAGTTTACTGTTCCCAGTTCCATCCAGCTCAGCCAGTATAAAGATCTTTCTGAGGTTTTGGTGCTCTTTCGTGTGTGTGTGTGTGTGTGTGTGTGTGACACGCATGTGTCAGGAGAAGTCAGGTAAGGAGAGTGATCAGATGCACAGACAACAGAATGCCTGTGTCACCATGTGTCACCATGAAAGGTGCTTCAAGAGAAGAGAGAGATTTCTGCTTTCCAAACCCTCTCCTATTTGTACACAGATGGCATTCTTTTTGTCTGTGGAGCCCAGAGGGCTTCTGTTCCTTCCTCCACTTCCTTGTTCCTGCTCCTTGGCATCCTGGGAGCATTCTTCATCGCTTGGAGCATGATCATGAGTGGCACAGGTGTGTCCCAGGACCAGAGCCAGGAACAATGCTGCCCTTTGTGGGCTCCAGCTTTGGTGCTTTATTATCAAAGTCCTGGCATTTCTGGGCACTGCATGCAGGGGGGGGTTGGGGGGAACTTGGCTTGCCCATCCCTCTATGTCCTTGAGCCCTACGAGGGTGAGGCTGTTTCTGTGTGAAGCAGCAGATCTCCCAATAGTGGTAGGCAGAAACACGTGGACACCTGCAGATACCTCAGAGAAGTGACCCCACCCATTCTATCCTTAGGTGAGAGGAGGGGCCTCAAAGGAAGAGTCAGAGAGACCTGAGGGCTCAGGTCTGATTGAGGGAAGTAGGTAGAGCTCACCTTCAGGCATGAAGAAGATGGGTTGAACATCTAACCAACTCCCTAGCAAGGGGGCTGGACCATGGAGCAGGAAGCTGGCAGCATTTTGGAGTCAATGTCCCCCTATCTGTCAGGGGGAAATGCCATACAAGGAATGTGGCCCAAGTCTTTACCTCTGTGGCTATAAGGGCAAGAGACAGCTGGGGAATGTGGGAATGTCATTCCAGAGCTCACTAAACAGATGGGGGAAAAGAGGAGCCATCATTACACCACAAGATAGGCTGCTTTTGAAACCAGACCTTGTTGGAAACCAGCTTGTTGGAAGGAAGAGTCTTAGGATGTCTGAGCCCTTATCAATCAGAAGTGGTCCCTACTCCCTAGATTATCAAACAAGCCTGGGGTGTGATGCCTCTGTCCATCCTAGGCCACTGACTTCACAGTCAGGAGGGGACATACAGGAGATCCCTGGCACCTGGAAAGTGGAGCGTGGGCCACCTGCCTGAGCTGTGACACCTCCAGGACCCATGGCTGCGGCCATCCCAGAGCCATCGTGGGAACCGCACTTCACTGTGCATTTTCCCCGTGGTGGAACTCCGGTTAACGGTTTCTGCTGTTACTCTTTATCCCCCGCTTCTGCCTCCCTTCCTCCCACCTAGCTGAAATCTTGGGTCTTCTGTCCCCTTTCACTTTCTGGGAAGCTCAGAGAAGACCTTAAGAAAGTTGGGGAATACCAGTCACCGGGGCTCTCCCACTCATAAACTGCATCTCCAAGCACCCTATCTCTCTCTGGGTTTTAGTTTCTCCATCTGTAAGGGAGTCCCCAAAATGCTTTTTTATTTGTTTATTTTTGACCAGTACTAGGGCTTGAACTCAGAGCCTGCATTCTGTCCCTTCGTTTTTTTCAGTCAACACTGGTGCTTTATAACTTGAGCCACAGCTCCACATCTGTCTTTTGGGTGGTTAATTGGAGATATGAGTCTCATGGACTTTCTTCCTTGGGCTGGCTTTGAACCATGGTCTTCAGATCTCAACCTCTAAGTAGCTAGGATTACAGTGGCTAGGATTACCTGGTCTCTGGGTTCTTTCTAATGTTGATGATCAAGTCTCTGCTTCTGTGGAAGTAAACACTGACTGTAGAAGACAGGCACTACCCCTCATTTGGGACATTGTCGGTAGGCTGTTTCACTGGGGCTAGCATTGCCATCCTAACGCTTCTGACTGGGCAGGGACTGCGAGGTCACAGCCCTTCTGGCCGATGATCGTGCCTTTGTCTCTGGAACACTTTTAATTCTTCCAGACATTGTTCTTTGTGCCTGTAAACATCCTTACGCCAGATGCTGGGCAGTCCTGTACGTGTGTTTTACAGATTCCCAAGATGAGGCTCAACGAAGCCCTCCCCGGGAATCCATGGCCCCTAGTGATCCAGGTGAATTAGCAGAAAAAGCACTGCTCTAGGGTCTGATGGCCGAGTGTGAGGATGTCCCTGAAGTCCTTCGGCTCCCATGGTGACAGGTGTAAGGTCACACTGCAGGTGTGCAGGTGACAAGCACTTGGGGCAGCTGCCATTCTCACCAGGTCTCCCGCTGGCCCTGCCTCTCCCACACCAGTTTTCCCATCAGAACTAAATGCAGTCTGCCAGCTTCTTTCTCTGCCTGGCTCCTGATTCTCCCCTTTGGTTCTTTCCCTCCAGACTGTAAATTCACCTGCCACCCAGAGTGCCGCAAGCTGATCCAGCTGGACTGCAGTCAGCAGGAGGGCAGGGCCTGCGACAGAACCTCTCCAGAGAGTACCCTAACCCCGGCCTTCGGCCAGGTAAGCAGCAGAGCCCAATGTGCCCCTGGTGCTACCGTCTCTCCAATTAGCTCTGGGCAGCAGGGGCTGGTTTGAGGCCTTAGTATTCCAAGAGTTCTGGACATTGGGGTATCCTTTGGGGGGAGGAGACACAGATACATTTCTTTTCAGAAAAGTGGCTTGGAACAGTCTACAGGAAATCAGTAGTGCTCTGTAGGTCCCCTCAAGCACTGCTTGTGCCTGCTGCTCCGATCTAGGTATGGGTTTGGGTGGGGAAAGGGTGAATCCCAGAGAAGCTTCTCAGAAGGTCCTTATATACTGGGGCAGTGGGGAAGGTGGAGTTGAAGCCTCACACATCATTCTGCCTTCGGATTATGAATCATCAGTCTCAGCCTTTCCCATTATCCTGCCTGCCACTCATCCAGGCAGGCCACACCCACCTTGGAGGGGTGGGACAAAGGCTCTTTTCCATGTTAAAGAACCCAAGAAGTTGATGTCTAGAGACAAAGTTGGTTCTGGATTTTGCCCAAGCCCCTACACACACTACTTGCAGTGTGCAGGGTTTGGAATGGGATCAGAGGCACACATTTATTGATCTGTGGATTGAACACACACGTGTGGTGATGATCTACCCTGTGCCCAGTGCTGCTGGAGGAGAACTAAATGATATATTCCATGATTATCCCTCAGGGAGCTTACATCCTGGTGGGGCAGGCAGAGTCCACACAAAATAGTATATTCTGGGATACATATACAATAATGAAAGTGTAGCTAAGCATGGCGTGGGGGGGAGGGGGTGCAGTGCTGCAAGGCTTCCCAAAGATGGTGACATTTGCTGAGAGCCTTCATCTGATCGTGGAAGTAAGGACTATCACAGGATCTCATCTATTTACTTGTTTGTGTGTGTGTGTGTGTGTGTGTGTGTGTGTGTGTGTGACAGAGAGAGAGAGAGAGACCTGAGGCTTGAACTCAGAGTCTGGGTGCTGTTCCTAAGATTTTCTTAAGACTAGCACTTGCATCACAGCACCCCTTCTGTCTTTTTCTGAATAGTTATTAGAGATAAGAGTCTTCAGACTTTCCTGCCTGGGCTGGCTTTGAACCACGATCCTCAGATCTCAGCCTCCTGAGTAGCTTGGATTACAGGAGTGAGCCACCAGCACCTGGCCCGTTTACTTACTTAACAAGTATGTTGTGAATTTTCTCCATGTGCCAGGCCCAGGAATGCTGGAGACTGAGTGATAAAGGGTAGAGATATTTCCCTGGGTATCATGTATTTACAAAAGGGAAGGGGAGTGATGTTAAAGCAATCTCTGTTTAAGAGGGAAAAGCCCTGGGTACTGAGGGACAGTAATAGAAGGCCCAGATATGGGACCCATG